CCTTATATGGTTTGATCAAGTTTTACAAAGAATATTTTTCTATTGATCAAATAATTTTTTTTGGAGATTTATGTTTTAGCAACCCCCCGGATTTATTGATCTTTCACTTCGTATCATGTTCACCGGGCATTTATATGAGTTGAAACAAGCTTTTCTTGTCTTTATAGAAAATGTGTATATTGATCTTTTATGTATTTATCCAAATCATATTAATCTTTGATCTTTTTTGGATAAAACTTATAAATTTTTCGACAATTTTTCTTTGCGATCATGTACATAGGAAAGATGTGTCCATTATTTACAATTCCTTTTACTGGACATCTTTGCCTAACGTCCTTGCTTATAGATTTTTTGTGTTTTGAGCATGTTTGTCATTTGAATTATGTATTTGCTCAATCATATTATTTTTGTTAAAATGATACTTTATGTTTTTCTTGAATTTTCATGACCTAAGATTTTGGTTTGTATAAGCTTTCATGAACTTATACTTTGTTTTCATGTATTGAGACATTATTCAAATAATAATGTATCTATATATGTTCCAAATCAATCATAATTTTCTTTTGTTTTTGATATATATCCTATGGATATATATCTATGTGTTAGAACCTTGTGACACTTTGTATTAAAGATACACATATGAGTGTTCACTTGGTTTTGTATGTGAGTGGTGTTTAGCATACTTTTATCTATGCTTGCTTACATATATTTGCCATGTTCATAGTTGCATATTTTTCATATGGCATTTTGATAGGGGGAACAATCCCTATATCTTTTTTTATTTTATACTCACACGTGCCTATTGATAGGGGGAGCTTTCGCTCTCTTATTCTTTTCTTCCCCATTTTTGATGTTGCCAAAGAGGGAGAAACAAGTGGATTGTGAGTATATTTTAAGAGTATTGTGCTTTATTGTATATCTTATATACTCTTTGTGTAGATTATTTGTCATCATCAAAAAGGTGGAGATTGTCAGGTCTCATGTTTATGAGCCTACTCTATAATCTTGTTTTGATGATCACAAACAATTCCTAACAATGTGTGTCGATTATTTGTATTTGTTTTGTTAGGTAATCTACACAAATATCCAGTTGGAGGTTGGTTGGATTGCGCCCTCACGATGATATCAAAAGGAGGTTGGCGGAATATCGGAGTGATGCTATGCATTCAAGTCAACATCCAAGTTCAAGCTTCATCCGCAAGTTTACCAAGATGAGCATATTGAAGATCTATCAAGTTTTGGTATAGTAGTTGTTTTGTAGCGTATATTGTGTGAATATATTTCAAGCTCAATATATTTATACACACAAATTTGATTTTACTACAAAATGAGTTTATTTGAGAAAACAATGCAATATTGGCTTATTAATCTTATTTACATTACATTCATATTTTATAATGTTTATAAAAACATTCATAATGTTTGCACATGTTCTTACATGTCAAACTTCATTTTCAAGATTCAACAAAAACATGTATTATGTATATTTTTGATAAACATTGAGTTTTCACAAATATGAGGACCTTTTTACAAAATTCATTTTCAAACAAGTTTATCAAAATGTTTATAAATTGTTTACAAAGTTTTACATTTTTTAGAATTTATTTACTACTTTTTACAGACCCTTAAAACTCAATTTCAAAATCGATTCAAGCTAATAACCTTTTATTAGTCGACTGGTCAGTCGACTGATGACATCAGTCGACTGATGTGTCGACTAATGAAAGTTCCTGCAATCATCAAAACTCTCTGTTTTATTTTGGTCGACTGTCCAGTCGACTGATGATCCATCATTCGACTGATGATCCATCAATCGACTGATAAAAGGCATCACTCGACTCATAAGCTACCGATTCCTCTAACGGTTAGCTCATCAGTCGACTGATGAAACTCATCAGTTGACTGATAAGCCTTCTAAAGGCTAGTTTTGTGAAGTTTCTAGATATTCGTTTTTTGAGCTGTTTTATCTTTTTCTCTGGGTTTTGGCTGATGTCTTGAGTGCCTATAAATACCCCAGTGCATTCAACTCCTATAGCAATCAAGAAACTTGTTTAATCAAGTTTTGAAAGAGTTTAGTTTGTATTTAAGCATTGTTTTAAGTTTGTTTCAAAAGAGGAGTTTTTCACAAGGAGAAAGCTTTTGATTTCAACTGATGAATTCATCCTCATCATCTATCTATAGATCCTTGTGTTTATAGAGAAGATTTCTAACTCTTTTATCTAGCTTATTTATCTTTTGATTTTCATATTCATATCTTAACTAGTTTTATTTGACTTAGAATTTTATTGTTCTCATTTATCACTCACACCTCAATTGAGCTTTTAATATTATTCATACAATATATTGTTGGGTTGTGGTGAGTGATTTAGTAAGAGTTAGCTTCATAGTGTTCTCATTCATTGTTAGAGAACAAATCTTGTAATTGAGCTTTATTTCTGAGAATTACCTTGTAATACACATTTACACCAAGAGGAGTGTGTGGTGAGGATGTAGTCGATACCAAGAGGAGTGGCGTCAGTAGTAAAGCCTAGAGAGAGGTAGTAAAGCCAAGCACTTGAGGGAGGCGATACATGAGGACCAACACTTGAGGTTGTAATTTGTGTATGTACATTGTGAGAGATTTGTAGAGTTTTCGGTGAGCTAAAAAACTAAGTGTGTAGAGAAGTTTCGGCTTCCAAACCGGGTGTGTCGATAGTGGAGTTATCTCCGGGAGTGGGGAGCGGAGACGTAGTACGGAAGGTCCGAACTCCGTGAACATTTTATTGTGTTTGGATTGTTCTATGTGTCGACTATTTGTTTATATTGTTTCTTGTTTATTTTCCCCTTTGCATATATATCCTTGCATATATCTTATTGAATATCATCATTGTTAGGATATATTTATTAATTAATTTTAATCCGCATTAATATCTAATAAGATTAGCAATAACCCTATTCATGCCCTTCTAGGGTTCTTTCCTAGTGGCGTTAGGGTACTTTTAATCTATTCAAGAGCTTAAACCGCCCAGAAATCTCACGAAATTGAGAGGACTACAAGGACGTTTGGATTACATCCGAATATTCAGCTCACATCTTTCGGGTATGTGACAACCCTTCTCTAAGCTAATGAAGAAAGGTGTTTCCTTCGTATGGGATGAGCCCTCCCAACAAGCGTTCGATGAGGTCAAGACTTATCTCTCAAATCCACATGTCTTGGCGGCCCCGGTCTCAGGGAAACTCTTCTTGGTTTATATGCGGGCAATGGAGCATTCTCTTGGCGCCGTCATAGCATAGAATGACGATGCCGGCCATGAGCAAGGCATCTATTATCTTTGTAGAATATTGCAAGAAGCCGAACGGTGATACCCCATGGTCGAAAATGAGTGTTTGGCATTGATGTTCGCTATCCAGAAAATGTGACATTACCTGGTTGGTCAAACCATATACGTCATCTCCCGGATGAATCCTATTCGAGTCTTCATGACACAGCCTTGGTCTTTAAATTGGCATATGGCAAGATTGCCACTCCTCTTTGAATGGAAATCTATGATATCTTGTTTGAATGGAAAAGGCAAACAAAATAAATTTATTCAAAATGCTCTTTGTTGAAAAAAATTTATTCAAGGTATATGGCCTTGGCTACTCCTCACAAAAGAATGGCGCCAACCACGCCTCATGACGGCGATGAGGCAGGCAGCAGCGATATGACGGCGATGCGCCCGACGGCGTAGGGCTGGGTGCTGGAGGTCGCAGTGTCACTGCCTCTTGAGGTGCTAGCAGCGGCAGTCTTTCATTCTTGGGTCGGTTAGGCTTAGGGTTAGGGTTTTAGTTAATTAATTAATTAATTTAATTAGTAAATAGTTAGATTAATTAGTATAATTAATTTCCTTTTATTATTTAAGTTATATAACTTTATAACCCATTAAGCTAGACCTAATCCAATAAGTAATAGACTCTACCCGCTACAATAATAGATTGAATCCATTAAAATTCTGACCCAACCCAGTTATGTAATGGGTCAGACCCGTTAATTTACAGACCCGACCTATTATAATTTTGATCATTCATTTTGTTTTGATCGCTACAGATCCGTTATAAGTTCGATTTGAGCCTATAAATAGTCGTTGGAAAGGTCATTCTGTGTACTTTTCAACTATGTAGTTTTTATTTTCATTTCATAAAATTTTAATATAGAAATTTGGACAATTCATAAAGATTATTGTATGCACATAAAGATAATTGATTTACCCTGATTATATCCTGTATGCACATAAAGATAATTGATTTACCCTGATTATATCCTTAATTCAGGTGGGGTAAATATTTGGGTTCATGATAAAATTGATTTACCCTGATTATATCCTTAATTCAGGTGGGGTAAATATTTGGGTTCATGATAAAACAAATTACACTATTAGATCAACATATGGGGTTAAGGAAGATCAGTAAAACGGTCACTTAAAAATTATGATAGAGTAGATTAGTGTCTTGCCCATGGTGAACAACCTATAATACCCTAATTTTTTAAGGTTAAGTTTAGTCTCATTTGGACTAAAAGGTTGCACTTACCTGTGGGTGGACTACTAGTCTTGCCGAAAGGTGTCTAGAAAATCCCCTACATGATAAGTGGTGCAGGATAATTGAAATAGGTCAGTGAGAGGAGAATAACCCTATTTCCCAAAGGTTAGGAAGTGTTCAAATCAAATTAACGCTATGTAGGCTAGTCCTATAGGTAATTATATATCATATTTGGGGGGGCGAATAGCATGTCAAATCACTTACCCAAAGATGTGATGAGATGATGCACCCGCCTATCCCGCAGAGTAGAAGGTTGCATACGTAAAATACTCTGACCCATCCATTCTAACCCTAAATTGCATGTGAAAATATTACAGTTAATAAAATTAAAGGTCTCATTTGATTTATATGTCCATGGTTTAATGCAGATGGATGGACAATTTATCCAGAAGCATCTGACTGGGATTGAGCCCCTTACTGGTTCCAACTATGGCAACTGAAAGATGAAAGTTGAAATAGTACTTGGGTGTCTTGACTACCACTATGTTCTCACTGAAGAGAAGCTAGAAGAACCTAATGATTCATCAAGTCTATCTGAAAAGAAATCTCATGCTAAGTGGGTCAAAGCCAACAAGCTTGCAATGCTGATCATTAGAGCATCGGTGGACCAGACTATTCGTAGGGGGATTCCGGCTTGTGAAACTGCTAAGAAGTTTCTAGAGACCATCAAGAAGCAGTTTGAGGGATCCGTTAGAGAAAGACAGTACAATTATCTAGTCAAACTCATTAATCTACAATATGATGGAAGTGGTGATGTTCGTCAGCACATTTTGAAGGTCTCTTAGTTGATCATTCATCTCAGGGAGTTGGGATTTCAATTAAAGGATGATCTTATGGTTTATTTTGCAGTCGCTTCTCTACCAAGCAAATTGATACTTTTAAGGTGAATTACAGTTCTCAAGATAGGAAATGGGACTTAAATGAGCTTATTGATGTATGTGTTGCTGAGGAAGAGCAGCGAGGCGGAAAATCTGGCATATGGCAAGCTTGGACCAAATAAGGCAGGAAAGAAATCCTTCAAGAATCAAGGGCACAATAAGGGGAAGAAGTTTTTTGACAATCTTTCAACTGTTTCTAGCACTTCTTCAGCAAGAGAAAATGTTGAATGTTTCTTCTGCAAGAAACCTTGTCATATGAAGAAAGACTGTCTGAAGTATAAGTAGTGGTTGAAGAAGAAGGAAGGTAGGGATTTAGTTCATGTTTGTTGTGAAATAAATTTAGTTGATTTTCCCTCAAATTCTTGGTGGATTGACTTTGGTGCCTCTATACATAATTCAACTTTATTATAGGGAATAATCCACAGTTTGAAGGCAAGGGAAAATGAGCAGCTGTTTTTGAAAAACTCGTAGCCTTTGGCTGTGGAGCTAATTAGAACTTTCAGTCTGCGCTTGGATTCTAGAGTTTCCTTAGTTTTATCAGACACTTTCTATGTACCTTCTATGAGAAGGAATCTTATTTTAGTTTCTAGACTTTCTGAATCTGGTTATAGCTTTGTTTTCAAGAATAAATATGTTTCTATCAGAAAAGGTTTGGATATTATCATATATAGTTTCGTAATTGACGGTCTTTATAGATTAAATCTGGATGCATCTTATCCTTCCCCTATCTGTATGTTTGTGAATTCATCTTTTTATGATACAAAGCATCCTAGGCTTAATAGCAATTCTTCCATACTTTGGCACCAGAGTGTGACGCCCCTGGGTTCACACGAGGCTGCAGTCCAAGGTGAAACCAAGAATGTCAAACCTGCTATGCACCACACCGTGCAATAACATGTTTCACCGTCACAATTAACATCTATCTAGTAGAATCAACAACTGGTGTAGGTACAAAACAGGTAAGAGATAATACAAGGAATACTGAGGAAAATGATAATAGTCACATAAATATCTCATCATCCAACGATACAGAAATACATAGTCAAGATCTGAGTAGATAAATTGAAATACTCAACAAGTCTCAAATACAAATATCTGACGATAAAGTGATAAGGCTCACAGCCTTTACAATATCTAGAATAATACCCTCAAATGTCTAACCTCACTACAGTGGAGCCCAAAGAAAAATAATACATAACTAGAAAGTAAAGCTGAACACTAATGTGGTCCGCTATCAACCTGCGGCTCTCCGTGCTCCTTGCTCGTGACCTGAAAGGGGGAGGGACAACGAGCGTCAAAGCGCTAGCGAGTAACATCACAACCAACCCCAAGGGAAAAGGGCTCGTTGTATAAGAAAAATACAGATAATATATATAATGGATCTAAAATCATTGATCCTACTAAAGAGGGTTTTAGTGTTTAGAAATTTACAACACGAGCATAGGTACGTCGAGCGAAATAATCCAAACAAGGAAACCCTCATGTATATACCTTGTATCTCAAATCGTAAATCTCTAAACACCAAACTCGTGGTTCTAATACAGAAACAATAAATCAAGAAATACCGCTAATCTCATAACAAATTACAGTGCCATACCATGACTAACATGAATGTCATATTATTACTTGCATGAGTGTCATGTCAACATCATGTCGTGAACTTCTGTGAAGAAGTCATATGCAGGGTTAAGAACTATGTCCAAATCAGGAACTATTTATGTCGTAGTTTTCCAAACTCATAGATTAAGTGGCAAATGTCCAACACGAGGACTAGAATGAATTTATAGTCCAACACGAGGACTTCTATGGATTATAGTCCAACACGAGGACTAAGGCATAGTAAAATATCGCTATGATGTATATAGTGAAGTCTACTTATATCAATTCACACTCAAACAGTGTGTAAGTCCCCAAACCATGCCCTCAGGTCATCTATCATGCATGAAATAGATAGTGAGACTAAATACCAAGGTCAGTTAGTCCAGGCGACCCTCGAACATGAGTAAAACACCCAAAAAATATCCAGAACAGGAAAACACAACAGACAGTGGGCGGTCGACCGCACCGGTCGACCGCACTCTGATGTGCGACCGTCGGTCGACCGAAAAAATGTCGCGGTCGACCGAAATAATTAGCGGTCGACCGAAATAAATTCGCGGTCGACCGAAATAAATTCGCGATCGACCAAAATAAATTCGCGGTCGACCGAAGCCCACAGAGAGCAGGGTCGGACGCGGCGGCGGACAGAAAGAATTCGCGGGTTCTGTCAGCTCGAAACACTGAAAAAATCGAGCATAATTTCTACAACATGCAATGCAAGTGTTCTAAAGTTTTGGAAAGAAAAATAGCTAAGTCTCAAGCCATGAAAGCCCATATCCTAATTGTTTCAAAATACATGAGAAAACAAGTGAAAGCGTTTGTAATAACAGTAAAAATTATTTCTAGCTCTTGTTTAAGAAATTCTCAGATTAGATCTCTTTTCAACCGAATACGTTGTGTGGTTTTTAAAACAGTAAAACGCCAATCCATGTTCTAATGCCACAATATTCATTTTAGCTATACAAAGAATACATGTTTTGCTCTATAAGCCGCAATGGAAAACTCGTTCTTTGACTATGAAAACGGAAAGGGGTGGTTGTTGGGTGAGAAATTAGCTGCCGCTTGGGTTGAGAAGAATGAAACCCTAGATCTGCAGGAAGGTTGATCGTCCCTTCGCTGTATCCCACAGACCTACGTCTACATCGGCCTAAACTGCGCCCCCAAGAGAGGAGAGTGAAGAGGTTCGCCCGCATGACAATCCTCAACTGCTTCCAGATCACGAGCATAGAGAGGATTAGGGTTTTAGGGAAAGAGTAGGGTTTTGATTTTCAGAACTCAAAGGGGCTCCCTCTCGTGAACAGTAGTATATATATCCACTCACAAAACCCGACCCGAAACCCAATAGACCCGAAACAGAAACCGCAAAGAAAAAAAAAACCTGAAACTCTCTGTACGCTGGTCGGTCGACCGTACCGATCGACCGCCACGGTCGACCGCGCCGGTCGACCGCTCAGCACAAAATGCCTTACTTCAGGCATTTCACAAGATGGCCTTATCCCACTCGATATCTCTCACTTATAAACACCTGCTGGGTTCCCAAACACTGATAAACATATATATCTTATATTTTTATGGTTATTCATCACAAGGGAATTTCTTCACTATTAATAATTCACCTATATTATAGAAATTTCCGGGGTTTTACATTCTTCCCCCCTTAAAAAGAATTTCGTCCTCGAAATTCGGAAATCATGCGAACTTGAAATATGAACTCTTAGATAACCTTATAGAGATATTTACACTTAACGATCTAAAATGATAATATTCTCGCTCAAATCCTAATCTAGTGGAACTAGTACATCGGGCGAAAAATCCAAACAAGGAACCCCCCATATATATACCATGTGTTCCGAAAGATTAAGAATTAAGCGTGCATATTCCCATTCTGGTGTTAAATATAAACATAACCAAAAATATAACATAATAAGGATTAATTTACATGCTCAACCAAGTGTGGGTAGTCGCGACGCACGTCCTCTTCGCGCTCCCATGAAATCTCCTCAATGCCTCCTCGGTTCCACTGAACTTTTACCAAGGGAATTACCTTGTTTCTAAGCCTCTTGTCCTCCCTGGCAAGAATACGAACCGGGATCTCAATAGTAGTCAAATCATCCTGAAGCTCGATCTCCGGTGCATCCAATACTCGCTGCTGCTCCTCATCATGCAAGTGCTTCTTAAGCATAGAAATATGGAACACGCTGTGTATACTAGACATTGATGATGGAAGATCTAGTCTGTATGACACAGCCCCAATGCGCTCTAGGATCTGAAAAGGCCTAATATATCTCGGTGCAAGCTTCCCTCGCCTACCGAATCGCTGTACGCCTTTCATAGGCGATACCTTAAGCATAACCAAATCTCCAACCTGAAACTCTAGGGGTCTTCGCCTCTTATCTGCATAGCTCTTCTGCCGACTCTGAGCGGCTAAAATCCGCTCCCTGATCAAAGCTACCTTCTCAGTGGTCTGCCTCACTAGCTCGGGCCCAAGCATCAAGCTATCCTCCGGCTCGGCCCAACATATCGGTGATCTACAAGGTCTCCCATACAATGCTTCATACGGGGCCATACCGATCATCGCTTGATAACTATTGTTATAAGCGAACTCTACCAGTGGAATATGATCCTCCCAACTACCTTGGAAGTCAATGACACATGCCCGCAACATGTCCTCCAACACCTGATTCACCCTCTCTGTCTGGCCATCCGTCTGGGGGTGAAATACACTGCTATAAGATAGCGTGCTGCCAAATGAGTCCTGAAAACTCCTCCAAAAATGTGAAGTGAAAACCGATCCTCGATCTGACACGATCGTGTCCGGTACTCCGTGAAGTCGAACTATCTCCCGAATGAAGATCCTCGCATAAGTCTCGGCTGTATAAGTGGTCCTCACTGGAATAAAATGTGCTGACTTCGTCAACCGGTCCACTATCACCCAAACAGAATCATTCCTCTTCTTTGACTTCGGCAACTCCAAGATAGCAGCACTGACATCGCTCCCAAGAATGCCTTGGTTCCTCCAATCTCGGGTCTAATATCAAACTGGCTAAGAGTGATAAGATCTCTTTACAAAGAACACCTCAAAGCCACAACCCGATGCCGACGCTTCCTACTCAAAGCATCTGCTACGACGTTCGCCTTCCCTGGATGATACTGAATCGCGAACTCGTAGTCCTTGATAAACTCAATCCACCTCCTCTGCCTCTGATTGAGTTCCTTCTGAGAAAAGAGGTACTTCAGACTCTGATGGTCTGTGAATAGCTCAAACTGCACTCCATACAAGTAGTGTCTCCATGACTTCAGTGCAAACA